CACATACTTTGAAGTGAACCTTTTTTTTTTCTTCATTTCTTGTTCTTGTTTTTGTAAAAATATGAACATGATTCCTAGTTTTTTTTTGGTGGTGGTTGCTGTTATGTTCTTTTTATTTCTTCCTTTACTCTTTCCTCCTGTCTTCTGCTTTGTCCTCAAACCCTACTTCTACATGTACCCTGCCCCATTCACCTCCAAAAAGCTATACATACACTCAATTTGGGTGCTTCTTGGCATTCTCTTGCCTACCTTATCTACTAGTGACTTTTTTCTGTTCTTTCTAATAAACTACACACACACACACTCAGCCTTCTCCACCACTTATTGTTTTGTCATATTCTTCTGCTTCACCTCAGAACAAGGACCCCAAAAGAAGTGGTTACATCTTTGACACCTAACATGGAGCTTTTGTCTTTCCTATAGAGGTTAAGTGTGGTGGAAATGCCACATACACATTCTCTCTCTCTCTCTCTTTGTCCCTTTATATAAACCTAAGCAAGAGTGGGTACTCTGAAATTTTTTTCTCTTTAAAAAAGCATTAAAAGCTTTTTTAGAGCAGCTGCCACATGAATAGAAGAGAACAGCTTCCCACTACCTCCTGCTGAAACCAGTAGGGTTGTTAGCCAGACAGACAATTGGATTCCTTTCCAGATGGTTACTGTAGATCCTTGACCATGCCTACTCATGGTGGGGCACTTAAAGGCCCCCATTGGAAGCTGAATTCTGACAGCTCAAACAGGTAACCTGCAAAGAGGTCTCCACTTATCTGTTGTCCCCATTTGTACTATTTTGGTGGGGGTGAGAGGAAAAACACTGTTAGTGATTTCCAGATACTCCTTTTCCAGGGTGACTGGAGATTATTCTATTAGAGCCTCCTTTTAAACTTCTACCAATAGTCAAGCTACAAGTTTGGACTTCTATTTCTCTGGCAGTATGACAGATCTCCCTCTTCAGATATGTCTTGATAAATTTACTGGGCCAGGATCCTAACCCCTATTTTAGGCTCCCACCGTCTGTCCCAAAAGTTAGCCCCATCCTAACTTTCATAGATCTAATAGCTACAAAATATTCCCACTCTCCTGATTCACTGAGAAAGGTTTGTTAGGACAAAAGTCAATGTTAAAAGAGAGTCCCCATAGGCCTGTTTGTCAGACCAGTTCACTGAAAGCTGGAATACTTTTGATTGGCGAGCCATTTCTAAAGAAACTACACTATAACAGAACTTCTTGTGGGCTTCCATGATACATGGATGACACATAAGGGCACAGAGGTCAGGAGGAGCCTATTATTGCTCTTTATGGTAACCCTTTCTGTGTCTCCCAGACACAGGGTGTACTTTTATTTTTGCTCTTTTTATGCTTTTTTCCCCCCTCTTTGGCCGAAGTTCACCCTACAAAGCTAATTTTTCCTTCAATCCTTTACCCTTCACTTTTCAAATAAACTTTAGGTACTGTTTTTGCTTGTTTCATCCAATTCTTTGTTTGAGGCAAGAAGGACCCAGAGTACTTGAGAGCCATTTATAAAGAAACTACCAGAAAACAGGGTGTTGTTAAATCACTGTTACCCAGGCAGAGCTCAAAATTGAAATCTTTTTGCCTTAGTCTCCGAGTACAGGGCTTAAAGCCACTTATTTTGTAAAATGCCCTTCATTTTGGTTTCTGTTTGGCTATTAGATTTGAAAAGTGAAAAATTTTGGGATGTCCTAAATTTACATAGAGCCAGAGGTTGGAAGGGAGAAGGAATAGGGGCGATTAAATTATGGGCTGGAAGAGAACATCATTTCATGTTCCTGAACCCCGTCACACAATGCTCTAGGTGCCACAACATTCTGTTTACCATTCTATCGAATCTAGAAACAACAGTTATATTTATGGACTGCCCTCCTATCCCAAAGCTGTCCCTGACCTGTTCTGCCCTTATCTCTTGCTCAATGTTAACAGCTTATATCTTTCTTCCCCCAGGATTTTCATTATAAAAAACTCACTAGCACAGAGAATTTTTTTTTATAATGCGATTGAGGGTTGCAAGTTATATGTTATCTTGGGCAATTTAGAGTCTCCTGAAAAAAAAAAAAAAAGAAGCTGGGGATGTAATTCAGTACTCTTTGGGTCGAAGCCCCAGTACAAAGAAAGAAAAAACAAAGAATGAAGGAAAAAAAAAAAAAAGAAATGACTTATCTCTGGTTCAGCTGACATTTTTCCAACTGCTAAGCACCTGTGCTGCTAGTGTGCTGCAGGATTTGTCCCAGAACTGGTCTTTTCTTTTAGGCTAGCATCTGTAATAGGTTGATAAACTATTTTATTCCAGAGCTGTCTTGTTCTCAAGAGTTTTAAGAGATTTAAGATTATATATTTTTGGCATCAATACCATCATATCAGAGTGCACATAAGTTGGTGTGTTTTATTACTTATTTTTGTTGTTTTTGAGACAGGATCTTGCTGTGTAGTGGAGGTTGACCTTGAACTCACTCTGTAACCCAGGCTGGCCTTGAACTCATGATAAGCCTCCTCTCTCAGCCTCCTGAGTGCTGTAATTACAGGCATGTACCAACCATACCTGGCTGTCTTATTACTTTTGGTGAAACAAAGAGCTCAATTCATGATACCTGACAAAGAGCATGAGAAGAGCCCCAGAGGAAGAAGCCAAGGACCTGATATAGTCCTCAAGGTCATGCCCCCTTCGTCCACTTCCTTTAACTAGGCTTCACCCTTTATATTGCCCATTGAGTTAGTACCCTCACAATCTAGTCACTTCTTCAGGACTGTATCGGTACTGGGGATCAAACTCGTAAATTGCACTTGTTAGGCAGCGCTTATGCCACTGAGCTAAATCCCCAGCCCTTCAAGAATGTCTTAATTCATCAAGATTAACTGGCTTGTATACCTTGGGAGATTGAATTGTCCTAGCAATTGAGGAAGCAAGCAGGAGAAATGAACTAGGGTTAGAGGAGGCAGTGAAATAAAGGGTTGAACTAGGTTTAGAAGATTAGTTGGAGGTCAGTGACTTTGGAGAATAAGGCAAAGACCTTCCAAAACTTAAATGTGACAGAAAAATACTGAGTACTATGGACCTATGTTCTACTACCCAACTGGTGAAGATTGGTTTTAGTGTTTTCTTTTTTTTGTATTAGGGATAAAACCCAGGACCTGAACATACTAAACACCATACTAAACACTCTATCATTGTATCCACAAGCTTAGGTTTTTCTTTTTTAAAAATAATTCCTGGTATCTTTCTGAAGTACTGTTTGTCCTCTCTTCTCTATCCCCTTTACTATCTCCGTATCAATACTATGATGCATCTGGTCCATTCTCTACACTTTCACACCTATATTTTTCATAAGGTACAAAGCATGAAGCATATACTGTTCTATGTATCTGTTTATGTAAATAACTTTACAATATGCATACTTTTTGGTATATTGCTATGTTAATACTTCATGTAGTTAAGAGCTATTAATAGTAACAAATAGGAATCTTTTTAGATTTGTTGTAGTGTTTTATCATAGAACACTTTTTGGCTTATTCATTCATGTCTGTTGGATATTTCTGTTATTCATAACTTTTTTGTAAAGCCTCTCTTCCTAGACCATACCTTATTTGGCATACTTGTAAAAGTTTCTGTATTTTTCTAGATGTGAACTTTCTGAGTCATGAAATGCATATTTAAAATTTCATCATGTTGAATTGTCCTCAAAAGCAGCTGCTCTTTTTTTCTTTTAAAAATTCATTTTATTTCAAAGACAGAAAAAAGTAAATTAAAAGTGCAAAAAAAATATAAGTAGCTTTCTACAGCCCAAGTGCCATGTGTTTTTTTTTTTTATACAATGGAGTACTACTCTACTATAAAGGAGGATAAATTTGAGACATTTCTAGGTAAATGGATGTACCCTGAGACCACACTCCTAAGTGAAATAAATCAGACACGTTAACATATCACATTGTTTCACTGAGAAACTGAAAGGGTAAATAAGGACCAAAATGTACAATAGATATTCAGAAATAGGAAGAAAATGTTCAAATGGAAAGCAGAACAAATGAGGAGCTGGGAAAGGAGGGGAAAAGAAAAAAAGAAGGAAAAAATGAAAAAGCTTCGTTGAAAGGAGAGAAGGAGATTGGGGGAAAAGGAATCAAGATATATATGTATGGGTGCAAATTTCCTATGATGATTGTGATCATGATATATATCTAAAGTGCGCCAATAAAATTGTTTAAAAAAGTAGTTTTAGTTTTACACTGCCATCTGCCATCTCTTTCATTTCTCTTTCTGTTGAATGATCAGACCATAACTTTTTACTATCCAAGGAAAGAGTTTTTAAGTAGTCCTGTGAAAACGAAGAGCCAGAGGAGGGTCGGCATGGCAGTGGCTGAGTTAAAAAAGTTCAGGGTAATAGTTCCATAAAGGCAAAGTTATAGAATAACAAACTTACAGATATTTTATAGCAGAAGTTAAAAATCTCTTAGTGGCCATGTTCACGTTGCCTGCCACATAGTTAACTGGTAATTTCCATTATCCTTGACTGCTTCTAGCTGCTCCTCCCAAATAATGCACTAGGTCAACCTGCGTCTGGCTGTAATGTCTGTGTGTAAACCTGTTTACAACAGGCCTGCTTGACAACACATGACTTAATTAATGTAACCAATCATATAACAACCTACCACGAGCCTTGTGGCCATCTGCCACTTCCTGCTTGCAAAATGTAAACTAAACTCTACAGCTGGTCTGGTGAGCTAGAATTGATTCCCATCAGCCCGCTAGGGTAATACATCCTTGCCTTCCAAACTCCTTAGTGCGGAGCGGGTGCCCTGTTGTCATTCCTTCGTCTCCACTTCCATCACTGCAGAGCCCCAGTAAATGATTCAGCCCACGCGTATAATTAGACCAACTAGGACAGCTCAAGCGCCGTGGTGTACAGTCTCTCGCCCAGTAAGTCTTGGCAACGGCTCCCTCCCAGGGATGCAATTGGTTCCGAACTGCGCCTGCGCCCTGCGGGAGATCGCGTCTCCTATTGGTGCCCTCCCCGAACCGCCACCACCGGTCGGCGCGACCGCCGCTTCCGCCCTCCCGCGTCGGGGGGAGGGGTTCTGCATATTCGCCCGCGCCGGCCCGCCCTCTTCCTAACGCCTTGTGGCTCTCCGCCGGGCCCCTTCCGGTTTCTCACTCTAGGGGCGTCTCCGGATATCGAGGTAGGCCTCTCCAGACGCCGTGTAGGGTTCTGTGGGCGCCGGGGTGGGCTTCTTCGGACGTGGGCCTCTCACGATGCCCAGGTAGGCCCCTGGACGCTTCGGTGGGCTCCTGCCGCTCCTGAGGTGGCCTCTTGGGACGCCGTGGTGGGCTTCTCCCTCGGGTGCCGGGAGGCGGCCTGCGTGCTTCGCATTGCCGGGGTTGCCAAGTCCCGCTCGCTGCGGAAAGAGTTGTGGTTCCCCTTCGCTCTCACTGGACTCCCGGGACAGGCTGAGGCCTCGCGGACCTCTCCTGGAGTAACGGTGACCAGACTGCGCCGCCGATGGCTCTCCTCGCGCCCCGGATGGCTCTCCTCGCGCCCCGGATGGCTCTCCTCGCGCCCACAGCTTATCGTCTAGTTACTTTTGGTTGTCAGGTGAAATTTCTTTTCACTAGGTCTTTACCCCGGGAGGTGGGGGGAGCGTTTTTTGGAGATCTCTATTATCTCTTGCCGCTTAATGCCTCTAGAAGAACTGATGCGTTTCTCTTGCGTACTGTGACAGGCAGAGTTTTGAGCCTCCAGAAGGTGCATTTCTCTTGTGTACTGTGACAGGCAGCGTTTTGAGCCTTTTACACATACACGTTCACTTAGTCCTCACGACAGCCTTGTGAGAAAAGATGTACATCTTGTCAGTGATGGAGTTGGATATGAGTCCAGATATATATCAGTCCTCATTGTTTTTGCATTTAGTCACTATATCATACAGAAATATAAGTAACACCGAGGAAAAAAATGAAAAGTTATGCTCCCGCCTTTATATTTTCTGTCGTGGGAAGCAGTGCTTTGTAGTTGAATCAAGGAAAGTCTGGTTTTGAATTCAGATACATTGTTTAAATTCCCAGCAGAGTCATTTACCAGTTTATTAACTGTTTTAAGTTTGCTCACATATTAAGTATTGATGTGGATATTTATCTTGTATTATTGGGAAGAATAACCTTGGATGTGTATGAAGTATATAGACGGTGTTCAAGGATTTAACAAAAACTATAGTTATTGCTCACAGTATGTTTGGATTGTTTCTACATACTTGCCCTAAACTGAAGCCAAGTATAAACGGGAAAGCAAGGGTTTTTGTTTTTTTTTTTTGTGTGTGTGTGCATGTGTATGTATATATATGTATATGTATACAGGTAGTATGTATAGGTTTATGTTTACCTTTTTTTTCCCCAGTCACAAGCATTTAGACTCATTGTAATCAGTTGATAAAGAAACATTTATACCACATTTTATAAAATACTGGCTTGTTTAGGGGTAAGAGTCAATAATTTATAAAGAATTGTTCATAAACCCTGTATCACCCAAAGCTTTCCAAGCTGTTGTTTGGTATCTAGAATGTTAAGATTTAAAATTATTCTGTCAGTGATTGTTCAGATGGATCAAGGTGATGGATGTGGTAAAAGAAAATGACAAATAATACCCCAATTTAGGGATTTTTCAAGGACATCACCAAAAATGCTACCAGTGAAATAAATTCAATTCTCCATATCCAGTTGCTTTTGTTTCTGCTTTCTTCTAGAAATACAGTCTTTCTCACTATCATGCATGATCACTATTGGCTTTTAGACTCAATTCCTTTTTCACAGACAGTGTCATTCATTCTATCACTTTAATTCAGGTAAGGTAAAGACAAGTCATTATTTAGTGAGCTCTTCATCTTGAACAAGGTATCAGTTTAAAAAAACAAAACCAAACAAAATCAGTTAGGCTTGGTGGTGCATGCCAGTAATCCTAGCACTGGAGAGGCAGAGCAGGAGGGTTACCATGAGTTTGAGTCAGCCTGAACTACATAGCACCTGTCTCAAAACAAAACAAACAAGAAAAACCCCATAGAGGTTGATGGCTTGCTTGTTTAAGTTGGCCAATCCAGGCCAGGTGTGGTAGCACAGGTCTGTAATCCAGCACTCAGGAGGGTGAAGCAGGAGAATTGCCCCACGTTTGAGGCAAGCCTGGGCTGCCTAGTGAGTTCAAGGCCAATCAGAACTACATAGCAAGACCTGGTCTCAAAAAACACAAGCAGCTAGGGGTTTTAGCTCAGCAGTACTGGGCCTACTTGGCAAGGTTGTGAGTTTGGTTCCCAGTACCAAAAACAAATTTATGTGGAATTTATGTGGAAGCAGTACTGGAATTTTTATCTGTGGTATACATATAGTACTTTTTTATTAATTCCTCTAATGTGCTATGATTCTTTAAAGACCTATATGAATTCTACAATGGTTCCGTGTCAGGGAAAAGGGTATTTGTTTATATGCTTTTTAAGAAATTATCTCTATTTGGTGATATAGTTATTATTGCTACCAACTTTAAGCCTGTCAGTTTAAAGCCAGGAATGGTAGCAGGTATGTAATAACAGCATTAGGAGCCTGAGGCAGGAAGATGACCATGAGTTTGAGGTGGAACTGTAGTTCAAGGCCAATTTGAATTACATAATGGGACCCTGTTTCAAAAAACCCAAACCAACCAAAGGAAAACCTGTTAATGGTACAGGAATTATTTGACAGATTGAAAACACCTCATATAAGATATTTTCCTAAGGTATTATGATTTCTCTAGTTTTTTCCTATATTCCCTACTTTTGTGTCCTACTTATGGTTTTATTTTAGATTTAAGGATAATTGTATATTTTATATCTTCCTAATAAGTTTCTTGAGCTCTGCCATTAATTTTATCCTTCTGTGCCCTTGTGTGGCATTTGTTTAGGTTTGGGGAGTGGAACTCGGTCTTGTACTTGCTCACTATGCGCTCTACCACAGAACTCTAACCCAGTGCCTTTATATAGCATTTAATAAATTTATATGCTCATTCAACAAATATTTATGTGTGTATACCATTCATCAAGTAGCATTATGTGAGATAATGGAATATTACAGTAAAGTTTTAGAGTCAGAAGACAGAAGTATATAAGTGTCGTCTTTACCTTTCTGAAGCTCTGGTTCTTCAAAACAATTATATATACTTTTCAGTTTTCTCAGGTTTAGTTGATATATTCATCAAGTATATGTTATTGGGAGAGGATAGTGCCTGCCTGGCAAGTGTGAGGTAGTAAGTTCAATTCCCAGTTTTTAATATATATATATATATATATATATATATATATATATGTAATTTTATTGTCTGTGTGGTAGGGATGCTTTTAATTCCAGCTATTCTGAGGTTGAAGTGGGAGAATCCCAAGTTTGAGGTATAATTAAATTAGATCCTGTTGCAAAATAGAAAATAAAAAGTAGCTCAGTGGTAGAGTGTTCCTGGGTTTGATTTACAGTGCAGGAAAAACAAAAGAAATCCAAAAACTTCAAACTGATAAAGAGATGTAAATGGTAAGAGGAAAACATAAGAAGGTATAAAATTCACTTGTAAAAAAATTATGCAGAATGTCCTAATATAAGCATGTCCTAATAATAACATAAATTATTTGGTGTTTAATATAAAAACTAAGAACAATTAGAAAGTATAGTAACTACATTAATAAGAGATAGATAATGTAAAAGGATGTAAATTGAATATCATAAGTTTAAAATGTGCCACTTTTTGGCCTTTTGGTGAAAATCAGGTGTCATATTTGTTCTCGACTGTTTACTATCTGATATATCCTCTTATCTAGAGATAAAAGGGACATATTACAGCTGCCACCACAGACTTATTATAAACAACTATGTGTTAACAAATTTGATAACCTAGGATGAGTTCTTAAACATATTTACACCTAACCAAGACTGAATCTTGGAGAAATAGAAAACCTGTATAAAAACGTGATTGAGTTAGTAAAAATCTCTCATCAAATAAAAGCCAAGATCAAATGGCTTCATTGCTGAATTCTATTTTCGTTTTTTTTTTTTTATCGGTACCAGGGATCCAACTCACGACTGCCTGCTTGCAAGGCAGGCGCTTATGCCGCTGAGCTAAATCCCCAGCCCCTATTGCTGAATTCTACCAAGCATGCAAGAAAGAACTTATGTCATTTCCTCAAGTTATTCCAAACAACAGAAGTGAAATTTCTTTTAAACATATTCAGTGAGGCTTTAACACCATAATACCAAAACTGGAGAAGAACACAACAACAACAGAAAATTACAGGCCAATATCTTTAATGAACAAAGATGCAGAAGTCTTCAGTAAAATGATAGCAAACCAAATCCAGTAGCATATTAAGATTATTCACTGCAATTAGGTTGTACTCATATAAGGGATACAAGGAAGGCTCCGTATATGCAGATCCATAGATAGGATACATTGCTTAGCAGAATGAAGGACAGAAACAATATGATCATGTTAATAGATGTAGAAAAGACATTTGATAAAATTCAACATCCATTTCATAATAAAAATGCTGAACAAATCCATTATAGAAGGATCATACCTCAACATAAAAAAGGCCGTTTATAAAAAATCGACAGCTACCATTCTGAACAGGGAAAATATGAAAGCTTTTTAACACCTAAAACAAGATGAGGATGTCCACTTTCACTCACCACTTTTATTCAGCATAGTGCTGGAAGTCCAAGCTACAAGCATTCTGTTGAGAGAAAGAAATAACATCCAAATTGAAAGAAGTCAGATTGTCACTGTTTTAAAGTGATAATCACATATGTAGAAAATCCCAAAAATGTAAAGACTAGCATAAAAAACATTGCAGGATATAAAACCAAATTTTTTAATATACAACACAAAGTTGCTAAGAAAAAATCAAGAAAGCAGTCCCATTTACAATAAAAAAAAGCAACCCCCACCAAACCTCAACAACAAAAAGGCCTCATCCAAAGCAAAACAAAATAAAACAAAGAACAAAAAACAAAACTTGCTAGGAATAAATTTAAAAAGGTGAAAGATTTCTACAACGAAATTTATAAAACATTGATTAAAGAAATTGAAGAGAACAGAGAAATGCAGCATGACGTTCAGTGTTCATGGATTAGAAGCCTAAAATGTCTGTTTATGCAGATCAATTTACAAATTCATTGCTATTTC